CCCCCCACCCCCTCGGCCCCGAACCCCTTCCTACCCCCCTTCCCCATGGTCCTCCCTGCGGAACCGGGTCGCTGGGTTTCTTCTCCAGCGGGGCGCGAGCGGCACGCGGGGCGCGGGGGGCTCGGTCCCGGGGAGGCCGGGAAGGGGGCGGGGGGAGTCTCCCGAGCATCTGTCACCGAGCCCCGGGGACCCGGGGAAGCCGCCCCGCTAGGGAAGGCCAGGTGCTAGCTGCGGATGTTTTCCGCACCGGCCGCCCCGCGCGCGCGCGCGCACCCCTGACCCTGCGCTCGGCGGTACAAACTCGAAAGCCCCCCCCTCCCCGGCGGTGGCCGCAGCGAGCCCGGTGGGGACCCCAGGCTGCACCTACTGGAAAGGCGGCGGCGACCGAGGCGCGGACTGCCAGGAGGATGGGGAAGGCAGAGGCGGCGGTGTCTGGTCCTGGGTCCCCCTTCTTCCCCTCTCACTGCTCTCCGCTCTCCGCCCCGCGGCTGTCCCAGCTGTGGCCGCCGGTCCGCCTGTGGCACCCACGGTCTCTGCCCCGGCTCCGGGGGGGCCCCCTCCTTTCCCCACCTCTTCAAGTATCGTTCGCGCAGCGGTTTCTCGCGAGAGAAATACTTTATTTAAAAAAAAAAAAAGAAAGGAAGAAAATGACACCCCCTCCTCCAATCCCCTCATCACCACTCCACCCCCCCACCCATCCATCCTCCCTTTCCACTCCCCCTTGCCAGCCGCCGCCTCGGCGCGGCCTCCCTCGCTCGCAGGATTAGTTCAGTGGGAGGAGGCTGGGCTGGGGCGGGCGATCGGTCCCGGGATTTTTTTTCTGGCCTTGGGATTGGGAGGGGGGAATGAGAGGGAAGAAGAGGTGGAGTAGCGGTTTCCTCCCGATCTGCGGCTGGGACCCGAGATTAGCCACTCTCGTGATCGTGATGGGGAGTGGGGGGGGGGGAGAGAGAAAGCCCGCGGGCATAGAAAGTGGTGGCCACCTGCACCAAGAATGCGCGCTGGAGTCCCGCAGTCCCGGGGAGGCCCCTGGAGGTCCTGCCCGCCCCCCCTCCAGGGGACCCGATCTGGTGGCCCGCGCTTGTCTCTGGGCGCAGCCACCCTGTGGCCTCTCTGGTTGGGCACCGAGCACACACTGGAGGCCTCAAGGCTGAAGCAGGGTCAGGCGCAGGCCAAAGCCGCTGTGGGGTGGGGGGCACTGGTGTGCTGACCAGGGAAAGGGCCAATCGTGGTCCAAAGTGAGAGGAGAGCCCACAGCAAGCATGCTTCTTCCCAGACTCAGAGCAAGCCACCCACCCAGGCTAACTCCAGGATTGCTTCTACAGGTAGATCCGATTGCCAATTGGGATCCTGGGCACAGTGAGCCCTTGAATTTGGGCTGGTTTCCCAGGTGACCAGTCCTCTTGCTCCACCCATAGTGTGTGTATATACACACACACACACACACAACTTTTCTAGAATATACCAGGCACAGCAAAATAGTGACTTCAGAGGGAATAGTATTTGGGGTGTATGTATATGGTGAAGGCCCCGTGTTGCTTGTACCCTGTAACCATGCCAGAGATCAGGGAAACCACATTGGCTGCTGGGATTTGAGCCTCTTTCCTCCCCCCGGCCCTCACCAAATCCCCATGTAACAGCCACCAGCTATCAAACTCAACAGGAACAGGTACTCTAAGAATGCAACCTGCTGACGGGGGAGTTCCTTCGTTGCAATAGTTTGTGCTGAGATAGGAGTACAAACAGGCCAGGGCCAAGTGATTCAACTTCTTCCCCGTGACAACATGGACCCCATGAAAAGTGAAAGTGGAACCCCGGGAACTGTGGGAAATAGGAAGCCATGGAAATGTATAGGCCTTCCAGACTCTGCTCTCTATAAAGTCTCACCTGCAGAAATTCTCTCAGCAGATCCCAGAATTAGAGACTGGATCACTCTCCTTCAGTTGAGTGAAGTAGATCATTCATTCAAGATGCACATACTGAGCACCAGCTACATACCAGCTGGGCGATGGGTGGGTCACATCAGTTGGTAAGCAAAACTGAAAATGGTTCCATCCTCCTCCGTCCTCCACAGGGAAAAAAAACAGACCTGAAACAGATCACAAGCCAGTTAAGTGCTGGGTTGCACAGGGTGCTTGCTTGGTGGATGTTTAATAAGACAGGGTGACTAGACCTAGGCTAGGGCTTCGTTGAGGAAGAGATAATTAACTCATTGGACAGCTGGTACATGGCGCAAGTGGTAGAGTGCCTAGCGCCATGCAAGGCCTTGAGTTCGAACCCTAGCACCACCAAAAGTTTAAGTAAAATAAAACATAATTACACTACTTGTACAGAGAGTCCTTGTTCTTGACTCTGGCTATCTTGTAGAATGGCTTGGAAATGCCCATACATAAATAAATAGAATAGACCCCAGTGAGAACAGAGGTTCTCATCAGTCTTGAGTAGAACCTTGATGGGTACTTCAAGCTCCCCAGATAAGGGGAGGTAGAAAAGGAGGATTTAGATTCTGAAACATATCTGAGCAGAAGAACCAAGGGCGAAGAGAAACAGGGCTGTGGGAAATCCAGGAGACTCTTGTTTTTCCCGGTACCCCAGCAGCCTCTTTCTTAGAGCCTGCCACTCAGTGACAAGTTGCATAGCAACCAGTAAACAAACCCTAGTGAGTTCTATGTATCTCATGCTGTGAGTGGCTACAGTCCATTTACCTGCCTCTCTCTGGGTGCTGTGCCGCCTGAGTGCTTTTTTGGCTTTAGCTATCTTAGGATAGCTTTTTTCCCTAGGGCCACTACTTACAGTGTCTTAGCATCCTGCACATCTGGGATCATAGGCATGAACCACTACACCCACCTTGTTGGATGAGATGGAGTCTCACTAACTTTTTGCTCCCATCCTCCTGATCTCCGCCTTCCAAGTAGCTGGGATGGGCATTTAACCAATTTAAAGTGAAAGCCGGGCACTATAGACACCAAGTAGCATGCCAGAGGCTTCAATCACGAAGAGCTTGTGTTTGTGCCTGCAGGAATCACAAGCCTTGGAGCACACTAGAAGATGCCCTCTAGTGATAGGTCCCACTGCACCTCTGCTTAGTGCAGACATGGACTAAGATGATGGGCAATGTTCTTGCCATTGCAGAGAAGCTGAGCTTTGAAGGAATGCAGTCTTTCTTTTAGGAAAAACTTTGTATCTAGGATCCTAAACAATTCCTACTACTTAAATGTAAATGTTTAGGTTTGTGAAGGAAAAAGGTGAAACACACACACACACACACACACACACACACACACACACACACACACACACACACACACACACACACACACACACACACACACACACACACGGTAAAGAATTTCCAGGCTAAGAGAGGAATGAGAATGTTCTTATTTCCCTCCGTTTTCAGTTTCATCTATTGCAGGAATAATTTCAATACTTAAAATGTTTTTTTGATTTTAAGTATCTTCCAAGCTGGGCACTGGTGGCTAATGCTTGTAATCCTGGCTTCTCAGGAGGTTCAGATGTGAAGATTGTGGTTTGACACCAGCCCAGGCTAGAAAGTCCAGGAAATGCTTATCTCCAACAAACTACTCAAAAAAAAAAAAAAAACCCAGATATGTAACTGTGACTCAAGTGGTAGTACACTAGCCTTGAACACAAAAGCTCAGGGATAGAGCCCAAGGTCCTGAGTTCAAGCCCAAGGAAATGGCAAAAAAAAAAAAAAAAAAGATTGTCTTCCAATAATTCCTCCACCTGAACAAAACTGGCTTTTCTCCTCAGTTTCCCTCTCGTCTTTGTGCATGTGATGTACAGATAGTTTTGTCTTCTGCCGAACAGGGAGGGAATTTATTCATCCCTTCAGGGTTTAACCTTTGCATTTTAAGACAAGAGTCCCTGGGTGAGGTTTGCCTAGCTGTACTGCTGGCGGAGACCATTGAATAATGAATGAATTATGTTATTGAAATAACTTTCATTACCTCAATCCCCCAAAGCAAACACTGCCTCTCCACCCAAAACAAAAGCTCGGGTTCCCAGACTTCATTTTACTTGGGTTTCCATGAGTTCTGTGACCCACCCTGGTATATTCCCTGTCATTTTTTTTTTCTACCAGACATAACAGATACCAGCCCAACAGCAGAAGGGAATAAAGAAGAGGCCTGGCCAGCAGGAAAGGATATAACATTGTATCCATCACAAATGAGAAACACATTCTCTCTAGTCTCTATTCAACCAGTGTTTACCCAACTCCAGCTCTGTGTGTGTGTCAGATTATGACAGACCCTACAGAAGCCACAGAAAGTGTCAGTACTTTCTCCCACCCCCAAGGGGCTACACCTTCTTTCAGGATGGAGAAAGTGACTGCATACCAGCAGACTTGCAAAAAGTGACAGGTAGTAAACACTTCAGGAGCAACATAAATCAAAGTTTTAAGCACTTTCTAGCCCCACTGAAATGTGAATTTCATTCCATTTCTATGGGTAATGACATTCTCATGGTATGATCTTTGTCCGTGATTGCAAACTGAAATTTCTATTCATGG